GGGGCGCCTTTCTCAGCTTCGGCCGCGGTGTGAGGAGAAGCCGACGCGGTGCCCCCCGGGGCCATTAGGGGCGCCCGCCGGCACCTCAGAGCCCGCTCTCCCGCCCACCTCACCTGCCGCGCTGACGTCTCCTCAGTCTGTGTCACCAAGGGGCGCCCGACTGGAAATGCCGTCGCTGGGGGCGGGAGTCCGGCCTTGCCTTTATCCTTTTTCTTTCTCCTTCCTTCAGTTACATCCACTCCATGTCCACCCATTTCAGTAGCCCATGTATCCCGCCGCTGCCTGCGGAACCTTTGTGAGTCCGGAACCAATGTGCCACACGGCGCTGGCGGCCGGAGGACTGTTTTGGTGAAGGCGACTAGTCCTCTGTGGATTGTCAGTCGGTCCAGTTCCGGTGGTGAACGCGGCCGCGAGGGCTTCGCCTCCTGCTATGCACCGGCAGAATTTTCGACCCCCGACTTCTCCTTACCCCAGCCCGGGTGGAGGAGGTTGGGGTAGCGGGAGCAGCTGCCGGGGTACCCAGGGCGGGGGCGGACCGCGGCCGCCCTCCCCTCGGGACGGGTACGGGAGTCCGCACCACACGCCGCCGTACGGGCCCAGGTCTAGGCCCTACGGGAGCAACCACTCTCCGCGACACGGCGGCAGCTTCCCGGGGGGCCGGTTCGGGTCTCCGTCCCCAGGCGGCTACCCTGGCTCCTACTCCAAGTCCCCCGCGGGGTCCCAGCAGCAATTCGGCTACTCCCCAGGGCAGCAGCAGACCCACCCCCAGGTAATAATAGCCAGCGTTTGCCGAGCTCCTACTGTGTGGCAGGCATGGTACTCATATTCCCTTTACGTGCATTATTTTGTTTAGTCCTCTTTGAGGTGACATACTATTGACAAAACATTGCAGACGAGTGAACTGAGGCTTTGAGAAATTGAGTAACTTTCTTAAGATGATCCTAAAAAGTGGCGGAGACGAACGTTCTGTTCTAGAGCCCTGTTTTAACCAGTACACTGCCACTCATACTCAGATTTCCCCCAATTCTCCATTTCTTCCCCTTTGCCAGGGTCCTTGCCATCTCGTGTAAGTAAGTTATTCTGACCCCTGGGCTCCGAGGGCGGAAAAAGTGAATGAATCGCCAGGATAGAACTTATCTATGAGATTATTTAGGCTGGTGCCATGTTCGTACAGTCGTCATTTTCTTTTTCCTTCCTTTTTTTTAGTCTTATCTTTTTTCGAGGTGCACTGGCTTGTGATCCAAAGTTTTCTCAAGAGAAAATAGGTGGTAGTGGAAGTTTCCCATTCCTCAGAGTGAATTCAAGAGACAAAATATTTCTGTTGTGTCTAGGATTTCTGTGGTTTATAATGTGTGTCTACTTGGTGGTTTTCTAGCTTTGTGCTAAACCAGTCCAAACTCTTTGAGCCTGGATCTGAGAATCAAAAAAAAAAAGAAAGAAAATTTCTTAGATAGAAAGGTTCTAGAAACTTTAAAGCTATAGAGTTAAAGTTAATTTTCCTACCAAAAAAAATGGAAAATTTGAGGAAAAATTTAATACAATTAATTTATTTCATCACTACTTGATTTTTATCACCACTTGTATTTAACCGCAAAGTTAGTACCTTAGAAACCCAAACGTATTTGAGGTGACAGTTGGCATGGGATTATTAAGTATGTCAAATTGGTTTAAATGCTTTTTAAAGACAAAAACACCGCATTAATGGAAGCATGGCTTTGCAATTGAACATATCTAAGTTCAAGTCACAACTTTTAACTAACAATGTGATCCCCACTTGCCTTTAGCTAAAGGAAAAAGTACCAATTTTCTCTACTAAATGTTTTTTTAACCGATGATTTTTTTTCTAAAGGGTTCTCCAAGGACATCTACACCATTTGGATCAGGGCGTGGTAGAGAAAAAAGAATATCTAATGAGTTGGAAAGTTATTTCAAGCCTTCAATGCTTGAAGACCCTTGGGCTGGCCTAGAACCAGTATCTGTAGTGGATATAAGCCAACAATACAGCAATACTCAAACATTCACAGGCAAAAAAGGAAGATACTTTTGTTAACATTTCTGAAATTCAACTGGAAGCTTCATGTGTCAGGAACATCTTGGACAAAACTTTTATTCGTGTAATTAAGTTGAACCCAAAGATGATGACTTTGATTGAATAATTAGTAGAGTCTTCTTGGTATCTTTTCATCGTATCAAGTATTGTTGATATTAGAGAAGAAGGTAGGATAATTTGCAGTATTTAGCTCTCTGGAAGTGCCTACCACATTTTAGAAGATTTACAGTTTCCACATAACATTCCTGGTTATATACTCGACATTTGTCTTTTAATGTTTTTCAAGTGTTTTAAAATAAAACATTTTGTCTTTCTAGCTACATGTGGTTTTGTGGTATGATAAAGTAGAATTATTTAAATAATACTTTGTAATCACTTAGAACTCATAAGTAAGTGTTCTGCAAACTATTTGAAAATGAAATAGGAACACCATTCTTTGAGTTATTGACAAATCTATATTTGTTCATAAAGAAAGGAAGAGAATAATGAAGAATTCTACTTATATTCATTATAACCATTGTTCTACATGCATATTTTATCTAATCCTTGTGTAGAAATACATTGAAACTTGATTGAAGTCATAGAAATCCACTTAAGTGTAAGTTTATGTTCATTTAACTGAAAAGGACAAGGATAGACCATACATAGCTAGATCAGTGTTCTGTCTGAATTTCTCTACTCTGTATCTCGTAGCATTATAGTCATTTTCTCTTGAGGCCGAAGAAGATAGTTATCAGCAGTGTCAAATCACTTCCATTGCAAAAAGAACACCTCTCAAGTCCATCAATCCCAAAGACGACAAATTGTCCATGCTTAAATCATGTTTGTGTATTCTTGAACCAATTAACTGTGACCAGCACAGTGAGGCCTACTTAGCTTGAATCATGTACCCATCCCAGTAATGACACAGGGTTCTGTGATCTTTAGCCCCACTATGCCTACCTGGAGTAGAGAAGTGGTTTTCCAAAGGAGGGATGCTACATATTTTTATACATACAGTAATGGAGAGAAAAATATGAGGGAATTTTTTTCCCAGCTGTTTAAACAAAATCAAGTCTTATAACATGAAGTGCAGGCTCTTTAGCATTTTAAGGTCACAAAGTATGAGGATAAAGCTAGTTAAAATTTTGTTTCAACACTCCCAGAAAGAAATGCCTAAAAATGAAATGGTCACATCACCTCTTTGAGCCACATCCAGTTCTCTTTGTTCGTTAGGTCTTTCACAGAGGCAAAAAAAATAAATAAATAAGAATGAATTTTTGATTAATAAAATCCATGAGAGCCAGGACTTTGGAATTTACTAGCTGGATGAGGTCACTTCTCTATGTCTCAATTTTCTCATATGTAAAATGAGGAAATTAATAGGACTTTTGTCATAGAGGTGTTGTTTTGCACATTAAATGGGCTTTATATTTAGGCCAGGTCCTGGCACATAGTAAGCACTCAATAAATGGCAGCTATTACTTTCTGTCTCATTCACCCCTATGTCCTCAGTTTTTAGAACACTGCCTGCAAAATAGTAGATACTTAATTAATATTTGGTGAATGAATATCAAAATATTGATTATAACTACTATATTGCCCTGCCTACTCCCCTGTGTATGAAAGGGAT